AAAATCATAAAATATTTAATATACAGCTGCTGGATTTTCTGTCTTATTTAAATGATTTAATTTTGCCCACAGATGACTGATGCCATGTCCGAATCTAAAAAGAAATGTAGACAGTACAGTGTTGATTATTTGACATTTGGCTTCATTCCATCATTGCCGGACAAACAATCGCCTATGTGCCTTTTATGCAACAAAGTTTTGGGCAATGACGCTATGAAACCATCTAAACTGCAAGATCATCTGAGAAGATGCCACCCTGATAAAACAGAGAAAGATTTGGAATACTTTCAAACACTCAAAGATAAATTTCAGAAGAGAACACTGGACAGAATGTTCGCTTCGACGTCACAAAGAAATGATGATGGTTTGCGGGCGTCTTACAATATCTCGTTACTTATAGCAAAATCCGGAAAACCGCATACTATCGGAGAGAAGTTAATTTTGCCAGCCGTTGAAGAGGTTTTAAAAACTGTTTTACACAAACCTGCATCTGATATTATTAAAAGAATTCCCTTAAGCAACAATACTGTTGAAAGACGTATTGATGAAATGAGTTCTGATATTGAAAGCTTCTTATGTAATTATTTGCAAACGACCCATTTCTCTCTACAACTGGTCAGACACCTGTTTATTTAATGTTACGTATATTTACATAACAGATACAAAATTTTATTTTGAGTAGTTTTAATTTAAATTAAATTAATAAATGTATAAATTAACATGTGTTTTTACTTTAAGTTTTTAACTTTTTTAACTTTAACTAGACTTCACTACAGTTAGAAATTTACAGGAAATTAATATCAGGTAAGTAGGGGGGTCTACCCAACACGGAAAAACATGGCAAGGGGTCTATGACACAAAAAGTTTGGGGAATTCTGATTTAGACGTTTTATTTTTTAAATCAGTCGATTCGTTTCCAAGAAAATTATAAAAATCTTTATTTATCTTGATTTGTTCAAATAGGAATCAAACACATACGAAAATGTCACTTTTTATTTCAATAAGTGTTCAAAATGTACATAAAGTACCAACATAAACAGCAATTCGGAAGATTAGACGTGGCAACAATTAAATAACAACCCGAATTTTTTTCCGCATTCTTTTTATCAACACAAGTATCCTGGGCCAACTGTATTTATTGTTATACCTGTTTAGTTATTTGTTGCTAAGCGAAAGAAAGAATTTAATCTACTGTCGGTTACCTTTATGACCATCTTGGGATAGTGAAATTAATTTATTGATTCAGATTTTACTTCCAAAATGGTTTATACACTAGCCGAAACAGTGGAAATGATTCTAATTTATGTCAGTCATCCGGGGAAGTTAACTTAGCATATGTATGTTTTGGACCATGTTAGTAAATTTACTCAACTGGATCGGCGCTCCTCCTCACTGTTTTTCCGGTTCGACAATGGCTAGACGACGACTTTCCAGATAAATGGAAATAAAGGGCGAATAGGGTCTATAGAACGGCTAGATCTCCTGATTTGAAGCCATTTGAAATCTATTGTGTTTACTCCCCAACCCGAAGGTTTGGATCAACTGCATCAACGCATCATAGAAAGCTGCTATGATATCCCACGTGTTTTTGAAAATGTCCGTCAGGGATTTGAATATCGCTTATATCATTGTTTGGACAATAACGGGCAAAACTTTCAAACACTTATTGAAATAAAAAGTGATATTTTCGTGTGTTTTTGACAAATTAAGATAAATAATTTTTTTTCTAATTTTCTTGAAAACGAATCCACCTCTTGCCATTTAAAATTTTTAAGGGGGTGGCCCTGGAGGGCAGAAGCTGAAAGGGGCTGAAGTCGTGTTAAAAAGTTATCCCCCTTGACAAATCTTTTGATATGTCTCGGCGTTTTTTTCTTTTAATCAGCGCTTTTCGATAAATGTGGTGGCAAGTGCTCAAATGAGTTACCAAAGTTGTCATTTCATATCATAAATACTAAAAAGTGAAAAATAAATAAATACATTTTTAAGCTTTTATTTACATGTTCATAAAATGAACAAAAATTAAAAAAAAAATTGGATAGCTAAGTAAAAGCTTGTTTTTAAATATGTATTTATGTAAACGTGTTTTCTTAAATATTTCTTATTAAATATGTATATATATAGTTTATTTTTTACTGTTCAGTATGATGCCAACTTTCATATATTTTATTAATAGGAATCCATAAAACTCCTTACTTTATTTGTATTTCAAATTTCGGTAGATCTAAACCGTATATATGTTATGTATTTCAGAACAACGTTATTTGTTCATGTGAGTCTCTCATTAAACCCTTCCATTATAGTTATTCCGCTACCTAAGTGTTCTGACCCTAATAACTATGGTCAACTGAGACCGATCAGTCTACTGCCAATTTTTTCTAAAGTATTGGAACGCGCTGTTTACGAGCAGCTCTGCGCCTACTTATATTGTAACAAAATTATTCCATCTAAACAATCTGGATTTCGACAAGGTCATAATACAGCTTCGGCACTCTGTGATTTAACAGACAATATAACAATGGCACTTGATAACCAAAAGCAGTAGCTCTCATACTTCTTGACTTTACTAAAGCATTTGACACCATTAATCACTCACTTCTTGTATCTAAATGCAGTTACTATGGATTTTCTGAAAAACCTCTTTCGTTTATTCAAACCTACCTTGAAAATCGGTATCAAAAAGTTCGTCTAAATCAACAGTACTCTACGGAACAAAAAATTTGTTCTGGTGTACCACAGGGATCAGTCTTAGGACCGCTATTATTTTCATTATATATCTCAGATTTAGAAACAGAGGTAAAATCATGCAGCATACAATTTTTTGCAGATGATACTCAAATTTTCTATTCATTTAGGAGTAATGACTTGCAAACGGAAAATAATAAAATTAATCAAGGTCTTGTCCAAATTGAAAAGTTCAGTAGTAGTCATAATCTTCGTTTGAACGCTTTGAAGACAAATATGTTAGTATACGCAAATAGAACAAAAAAGAATACCTTAAAAAAGGACATAGACATACATTTAAAAGGTAATAAATTAATTCCTGTGGATCATTCGAAAAACCTAGGTATCATAATGGATGATGACTTAAAATTTGTTGCACACGTGAACTATCTAATTACTCAGTGCTACGCTATTCTCAGAGTTTTATTTGCAAATAAGGCTATATTACATAAATCTGCGAGAAAGCAATTGTGTGAATATTTCGTATTTTCGAAGATATCGTATTGCTTAGTGGTTTACTATCCCTATTTAGATATTATAACAAGAAATCGTCTTCAAAGTATTATGAATACATGTTGCAGGCTTGTAAATGATCTCAGAAAATATGATCATATATCGAATGCCATTAATGAACTCAAATGGATGAAAATTGATAAAATGTATAAGTACCAGCTCCTAAATCTAACTCATAAGGTTCTTTATTCAAAAACACCGTCATATTTAGTAAACAAATTCATACCTAGAGGGAATATGCATCGTATTAATATTAGATATAGAGAGACTTTTTCAATTCCACGCCACAGCACTTCTCTATTTCAGAATTCATACATTTACAATGCGATCAAATCATATAATTCTTTAGACCGCAGTTTAAAAGAAACCAATCCATTATCCAAATTCAAGAAACAAGTGAAAGAAGTTCTTCTTGATCAGCAGCGAAATCGGTTGTAACCCATAAGTGTCCTCATATTTTCCTTATACTTGGATTATTTCATTATTGTATACAGGTGCCTATTAATTTTCAACAAATTCTTTTTTTTTACATCTCATATTGTTAAGGGGGTTAGATGGTAGAATAGATATATAATCTAAATCTCGCCTCCTGTAAGAATATTACAAATAAAAGACGTTAATTATTATTATTATTATTATTATTTGACATTGTCACCCATATCATAACGGTTAACCATGGAAATTATAAATCGTCATTCAGCAGCGGTCGGCATATTGGATACTGGAATGACGTCACAAGCATAATAATGTTTCCCTCGTCCTTTTGATTTGTTAATTTTTCATTAAAAATGATCGTTCTTCCATATTGGATTCAGAATGATGTCGCGTTGACTTGTTATGTTTCTCTCGTTAAGCTCTTGCGAAGGTCGCCATATTGGATTTAGAATGAGTCCACCTTGCTTATTGCGTTTATCTCATCAAACCCTTTTATTTGATACTCATATCGTAGGAGTGTCTGTAAAAAAAATGTAAATGACGTCACTCTGCTCATTGCATTTCTCTCATCAAGCCCTTTCATTTGATAACCATATCATAAGGGTTGCTACGAAGATGATCAATCGGCATTTTGTGACATCCGCCATATTGGATTCAAAATGGCGACGGTGGATTCATTTTGTATGGTCATGCAATCCAAACGTGTGTACAAAATTTCAGCTGAATTGGTTCAAGTCAACTGGTTCAAAATTCAGTTACAACATTTCAATGGACGTTATTCGCCCTCTCCTCCCTGGTCGCCTTATTTCCAGGTTTGGCGATGTTCATTGGCCTCCTCGGTCCCCAGATTTATCCATATGCGATTTTTTCTTATGGGGACACCTCAAGGCTAGAGTATAGGCGAACAAGCCCCGAACTCTGGACGAATTGAAGGGCCAAATTCGCGTGGAAGTCGCCCAAGTTGAGAGAGCGATGTTGGAGAGAGTCTACGCGAACTTCCAAGAGCGCCTCCAGCACTGCATCAACGATTTCGGCCACCACATGCCTGATGTGATTTTCCACACTTGACTGTCTCAAATGCTATTTCCTTGTGAACCTGATTCCATCAATAAATTTGTTTTCGAGTAAAAATTAACTATCTTATGATTTTTTTAAGACCGTCCATCCTCTCCGCCGCACCCTGTACTAACAAACATGTCAAGTGGAACAAAACTTGGACCCCGCAGGTTATAAATGTGACTTTTATGTTCTAGTTGCTACAGAAGCAATGCGGATAGAGGCAGGCCGCATCCAATCTCCGACCTACCAATAAGCTGGCGCCGTTCAAGTTCATGTTCGGCAGGATGTCGAAGTCGAACTCCTCGACGAGGAGCAATTCGATAGAGACGACTGCCGAGGGAGACCAAGACTCCGAGCCTCCTAGGGGTTGCGGCGTGCCCGAGAGCATCATGGAGGGGTCCGACGGGGACTTCGTACCTAACAGCCCTCCGCCTTCCTATGAATGCGTTCTCGAAGAGGTAAGACACATTTTGCCATTCAGGTCAAAAGATAAATTGCAACTTTGAAGAAAACTGGTCCGATTTCCAAAAACTACAAAGCTTGTTCGTTCTTGGGTGAAAATTTCATCAAAATCCGGGCGGTACTTTTCAAGTTATGGGCCAAGGATTAACGTACAGTCAGATAGACCGACAAACAAACAGGCAGCGCGACAGACTGACAGGCGGACACCAGTAGCATAGGAAGTCAAAAAGTAATCCACGATTCATATTTCTTAATTTTGAATTATTGATTTCCAGACTAGACAAAGATCCCAACACGATAGTTCCTCGCCAACAGAACCGCCTAAGTGTCCGGCCATAATGCATAAATCAAGTAAGGAACTCTACAAAGCTGTGGCCAAACAATTCGGAATTACATGTAAAATGTCGGACCAATGCAGGTAAGATATCCTGATAATCATCACACTTCGCAACGCACATAAAGCTGCAAATGTCGCTGATATTTTTACACCATAATGGCTCAAAGATACGATATTTTAAAAGTCTTGTGACAAATAGCGCCATCTGTTGGGCGAGTCTCCTACTCGCCAGAGCTTAATTGTCGATCTCTGCTTTTACGCGAACCACGGCGCACAAGCCGCCTGGCGGCGTCTGTGAGGACCGTGACAGTGGGTCGCCTTCTAGATCGACGCGAAGTGATCTCCAACACTCTAGATGTCGCTTTGTGGTACACCCGTTTTCTCAAAGCGGTAATTGGCACTGTTAAGCGCACCCACCAGAAGATCAAAACAGTACTTTCAGCGCCATCTAGTGAGTGGCGCTTCAACTCATCACCCGATTGATAGTACCAGGCAGTTACCCTATATTACCGACCGTGCGGGAGTCTACAGGTTTTTGTTACCAACCACGGAGGCAAGTCGCAATTCTTATGATGGTGCCACAAAAGACAAACATTATTAGAAAAGTAGAGTAATCTACATTGCTGTTATAAACCTTCGTAAACCGAAGCACGTCTAGTTATTCCATCGGTAGACCCTCAGAGTGAGTGCTCTACCGGGACTATACATAACTCGGCGGCCGGGAGATGGAGGCAGAGTACGGAATACGGTAGAGTAGCAGAGCGGAGTGAGGTATAGTGCAGTCAATGGTGGCATAAGAATTAGCTAGACATAAATAGTGGTGTATATAAATATTTTATCAAGTTAAATAAATCATTTCTTTTTGTGGAATCCAGTGTTTTAATCCACACCCAGAAGAACCCAGAAAAACGCTACGGTCTAATAAATTATTTGAAGAATCAACGAATTTGACAAAAACATAAAACTTGACTAACTTCCCAAAATTTATAGGCTAAAATTTATATGTTTACCTTCCGTATTCTGAAACAATGACCAACTGCAGGCAACGCTGTTTTGTGCTCATTAGCAACTCATCAGTGCGGTCTTAAATCTAGTCTTGGGTACAAACGCAACGGGAAGCAAACAAGTGGGTATGGTATTTTGATGCTCAACGCAGAACGTCGAGAGGTTATGGGATACAGAACGTAAGGGTAACTCTACTCTCTTGATCGTACGCGATGATGACGAAAATCACTCTGGTATTTGAGGTGTTACAGATTCAAAGTCTTTTTTAGATACTACAGGGTGGCCGATATGTAACTGACTTGTATCTTGAATATTTGTGAAATGAAATAAAATACGTCCATTTGTTTCCTATTAATCTTTTATTGAAACTTTCATATGAAAAATGATATCAGACAAATGATCGCCTCTAGAAGCAAACCTGAGCCCTATTGATTACATTTTCCAACCCTTTTTGGCAGATTTCGTGAGGAACATTTTCAATCGCTTCCGTAATATTATTCTTCAGCTGCTCTACAGTATTTGGTTTGTCCCTATTTTTCAAAAATTCCCATAAAAAAAGTCAGGAGCCGTTAAATGACCTTGGTGGCCAGTTGACATCACCAAATCGAGAAATTAAACGTCCCGGGAGTATTGTTTGGAAAAGATTCATTGTTTCTCTAGCTGTGTGACAAGTTGCTCATTCCTGCTGGAACCACATGTTTTGCATGTTAAATTGTTAGCTGCAGCGTCTTCAAACAAGTAAGGTCCAATAGCACCTATATACCAAACACCGGACAAAACTGGGACTCGACGAGGATGTAGTGGCCGTTGATGGATGACAAGAAGGTTCTCTAATGCCCATATACGACCATTCTGCTTATTAACAAATCCCTTTATATCGAAATGGGCTTCATCGCTCATTATCAATTGTCGGTAAAAATCGTTATTTTGGGTATTAGGCTGCAATAATATAGAAATTTTCAGTAGCAACATTAAGCACACCAAAAATCACATGAAAAATGTTAATATTCAAATTTAGTTTGTTGGGTTTTAAATATAAGTAGGTTGGATATCACTTCTTTAGTTCTTCTTTAGTTTAATAATTTAAACGTAATGCTTTTTATGTAATTGAAAACCGTAAATAAATAAATGAGCTAATTATTTTCTTTGGATGCGATACTATAATTATTTACCGTATTATCAACATTTTGTTGAATTAAGAGCAAACTATTTCCTTTAGCGTCATTTAGGTGCCCTTACCTCCGTAGGAGAGCCCTTTAGGACATTTTTATAGAAACTTCCCCGATAGCATTAAATATTTATTAAATATTTTTAAAAATATTTGTTAAATATTTGTAGCAACAGATTTTTTAATATTTAATAAATATATTTCTTATATATTTATAAAATATTCATTATAGATGCTTGTAGTATATATAATTCACATATTTTTGCGATATTTTTTCCAAATATACTGAGTGACATATAAATCCGAACACCCAGTTTAAATGGTTTTATTTCAATAAAATTTTGTATAAGTACTTAATGAAGCATAATAAGTAAATGATAAAAATTTCAAAATGATTGCACTGCTTTAAAGCCCTTTGACTTTTAATTATGTGTGGATGCACCCTGATGTGCTACGCATTCTCCAACGTGCCTAGGCATGCTTCTGATCAGGTGGTCAATGTCCTCCTGTGGTATCTCATTCCAGGCAACCACCAAATCCTCTCGAAGTGCTTCTAGAGTCTGAGGAGGACGTTGCAAATTGAGCAATCTTCTACCCATCATATCCCAGACGTGCTCAATTGGGGATAAGTCGGGAGATCTTGGTGGCCATGGTAACAATGTGACATCATTATGTTGAAAGAAGTCTATTGTGGCTCTTGCAACATGAGGTCGGGCATTATCTTGTTGGAAAGTTGGATCTGCCAGGGTGTCAAGATAGGGGTAAAAGATGGGGTTCTAGAACTTCGTGGATATAACGCTGCGCGTTCATGTTACCTCTGATGAAGATTAAAGGTGACCTGGAACCATAAGCTATAGCACCGCAAACCATAACTCCAACAGTGTGATTAAAATGTCTTTCAACAAAAAACTGTGGATTCCTCCTTCACCACGTCGCCTTCTAACCCTGGCACGACCATAGTGCATGCCTAAACAAAATCGAGACTCATCACTAAAGACAATACTGTTCCATTCCTGATCCCAGAGTGACCGTTGTCTGCACCACTCAAGGCGATTACGTCGGTGTTCTCGAGTTAAAGCGAGGACCCAGTATGGCCGGTATGAAAACAAGCCAACACTTCTCATTCGTCGGTAAACACTTCGCATGCCAATAGGTCTTCCGTGTTCTGCAAACCATTCATTTGCAATGGACCTGGTAGTGGAGAAACGGTCCCTTAAGGCCAATAATCTTAGGCGGCGATCTTCACGGTCTGTTGTTCTACGGCGGCGTCCAGTGCCCCTTGCTCTTTGCGTACGGCCTTCTCGAAGCCATGCCTGACAACACCTAACCACAGTGTCTATACTTCTTTGCACTCTAACTGCAATTGCCCGAAAATAAAGTCCAGCTTCCCGAAGTCCCACTATACGGCCCCTATCAAACTCACTAAGTTGACGAAATCGTACAGGTCTCCGTACTCTAGGCATCGTAACCGATCGTAAAGGATGTCAAGAACCAAAATCCGCCAACGTTGATTCTTTATTGCGGCTGAAATATTCATTTTTAGAGCGTTAGTGAATTAAAAAAAAGCAGTATAAAAACCGGAATGTCCAACTGATAAGGCTGAACATTTTTTCACTTGTTATTTACAGTAAGATAAATACATTCACCAACTTTTATTAAAATAAAACCATTTAAACTGGGTGTTCGGATTTATATGTCACTTAGTATATTTAGAAAATATATCAGGAAAGATTTTTAAATATCAATTTTATATTTTGATGAGATATCTAAGATTTTTCGTAAATATGTATGGATTTTCAAGCATTAATCTGATACATATTTTCAGAGTATATAGAAAATTCTTTATTGGTTATTTTAGGAAAACCTGTAGGAAGCTTAAATAAAATTGGGTTTATAAAGAAAATTCATCTAGATATAATGGTTTAATTTGCTAGAAAAATATTATTAAAAAACATTCTAAGATTCTTCTGCATCTTGCAAGTCCAACAAACAAACTTACTAATTTTGAAGTATTATTGAATACATAAGCTGCTTTCCAGTGTATTTATTGGTGCTGAGCATGGCGAGTTACTCCGAGTAGCTCAACTGGGTCACTGAAAAGCAGCTCTATAATACACCTAAAAGGACCCCACATGTTATGCCTATATAGTTCGATATTTGGTTAATTTTTAAGACAATTTAGTATTTGATTTTAGATATCTTGATGAAAAATGTTCATTGGCACAACTTAATCCTTTGACTCACACTTATTGATTTTGTTGAAATGTGACTGTTTTTTCTAACTTAGCCGTAACTATTTAGTCATTTTATATTATAATTCAAGGAACAAAAGATGCAAAAATAATAATAATAATAATAATTGAGATATTTAAAAAAGCGTTTTTGATGTATCTCGATCAAGTTGCGATTATATGAACATAATTTTCGTATCCATTCTCAGATAAATCCACCAATACCAAATAGCTGTTACACTTCAAGGCTAGTTATTTATGATTTTATGAATACCTTTATACTCAGCTTCAATTTTCCACAAAAAAAACACTCAAATAATGAACCACTTGGAGGTACACGGGAAGCACGCTATCATAGTGAAAGTCACAGGTAAAATGGCTGCCGGCAAACGGGTCGCCTCAGGCCGACTTGCTATTATCCCATTGGTCGCTCGAGGTCACACGCACATGCGCCGTAGCCGAAAATATTTAATGAATATTTTCTAAATATTGGAGATTTAATATTTTCCATTGATTGAAAAGTAAATATTTAATGAATATCATAAAAGAAATATTGTATTTAAAATATGTTTAAATACACTGGACAACAAATTTTAGTTTTTTAATTGTATCTTGTGGGAAAAGTGCACTTCTTTGTTAATTTTGGGGCGCTGAATCCAAAAATGACAATGAAATAAAAAAAATTAGTTGCGGTTTAGAAAAAAACTTTTTATTTTTAAGGATATATTAAAAAAAGTAACAAGATTCATATACTTATAAGAATCTCTATATGCGCTGTCTTTTTGCTGTTCTTTTATGGATCGTTTCTGGAGCATCTCTACCAAGAGTCCAACAGTAGTCTGCAAGCATGGAAGGATTCCACTTTCCCTGGTACCTTTTTTCCATTGTTGAAATATCCTGATGAAAACGTTCGCCGTGCTCATCACTTACGGCTCCGCAATTGTCAGGAAAAAAGTCCAGGTGTGAGTGTAGGAAATGTATCTTAAGAGACATATTACAGCCCATCTTTTGATACGATGACAGCATATTTTTGACAATGGTTTTATAGTTGTCAGCTTTTCTATTTCCCAAGAAATTAGTGACCACCAGACGGAAATCATTCCAAGCAGTTTTTTCAGTACCTGTTAAAGTGTTTTCAAACTGTGTATCTTTCAAAATATTTCGAATCTGTGGCCCAACAAAAATACCTTCTTTAACCTTTGCCTCACTTAGTCTTGGAAATTTCTGACGCAGGTATTGAAAAGCTGACACATCTCTATCTAATGCCTTGACAAAGTTTTTCATTAGGTCCAACTTGATATGCAGTGGTGGTAATAAAATTTTTTTCGAATCTACTAATGGCATATGCTGTACATTTTTTTGACCTGGCTCTAGGAATTGACGAACAGGCCAGTTTTGTCTGGGGTAATGAAGTGCCTTTGCCCGACTGTCCCATTCACACAAAAGACAGCAAAACTTTGTGTAGCCTAGCTGCAGCCCAAGTAAAAGTGCAACAACTTTCAAATCGCCACAAATATGCCATTGGTGCTCATCGTATTTTATGCATGTCAATAGGTACTTCATAGTGTCATATGATTCTTTCATGTGAACTGCATACCCTACAAGAAGAGATGGTAAAATATTTCCAATATGCAATAACACTGCCTTTAAACTCAATGTTGAACTGTCTATAAACAATCTCCATTCTTCTGGGTTATAGTTTATATTTAAAGCCGCCAGTAAGCCGTTAATGTTACTGCAGAAAACCAAGTTATTCTCCATATTGAAAAATGGTGGCGTTTACGAAAAACACATACCGAAATATCGTCTTCTAACAAGTTCCACTGCTGCAGTCTTGATCCAACTAACTCTGCCTTACATTTTGGAAGTTCTAAATCTCTTAGAAGATCATTTAATTCTGACTGTGTTATTTTGTGCGGTTGGTGGCATGACGTACTCGGTATAAAATCAGGATCTCTTGACGTTGATGGCATATCTTGTTCCTGACGAATCACTCTATCGCCATGATCTGATTCGTTTTCTGATTCGCAACTGTAGGATTCTGGGGGTTTTGGAATAGGATTTTCTTCACTGTGAGGCACAGGTCTCATCGCAGATGGTATGTTTGGGTAGTTAATAACCGATTTTTTTTTCTTGGACATACCTGTGGCTTGTCCAACACAAGGTACCATGCAAAAGTAACAATCATTAATATGATTTGTAGGCTCTCTCCAAACGATTGGGACAGCAAAGCGCATAGACCGTTTTTTGCCATTTAACCAGTTCCTCAGACTTGAAGCACTGGTATTACAGCAGATGTGGGGTGCCCACTGTTTGTCTTGATCACCTAGTTTACAACCGAAATAAAGCTGATATGCCTTTGTTATTAGTGGAGTAATAGACCGTCTCTGAGACGCAAAAGTCACATCACCACACACATTAAATAAATATTTAATGAATATTTCGTGCTATCGGCATTGTGGCAACATGTCTTGTGTTCTATAAACATCCGACAATGCTATATTATCTTGGCACACCCTGTATTTCATAGCTGTTAATCAACTATCCCCTTACAGGTGCTTTGATTGCCAAAGTCACTACTTCGACTGCGAGTATGAGAAAAACGAACAAGAGAAAACGGACGGTGGCCTAGGGGCTGGAACCCCTATGTTCATCTCGGAAGTGATGCACGGTACCGCATGCACCATATTGTAATCGATGAGACTACTGGATATACCTAGTGAATTGTTAATATAATATTTCATAAATTTTCATCTACTCATCTAAATGCATTCAAACGAATGTGGGCAATAGCGATGAATTGTCAAAGCACTGTAGTCAAACATTTACACCATTTATAAAAATGATTGAAGTTCACATAAAACGAACGTTGTGATGCTCAACAACCTATTGGTGATAGAAGAATCCTATAAATAGTATTTATCAAGATTTTTGACCGTCCAAATTCAAAACAAAGGAGTTACTTTCAAACATGCCGTCATGTGTCACCTTACTTGTATCCTTTCATAGTGACAAAAAATAAATCTGTCCCATTGTTATCCTACTTGCTGGAAGTGGACGTCTTGGAATCTTACGTGAAAGTCTGAATATAATAATAAAACCTGTGTCACAGTTAAAAGCAAACAGGTGCTTTGACAGCTCGTTAAGCCTTTCCATCAGATTTGTTATACAAATTCCCATATGTTACAGACTATTTTCATCTATTTTAAACGACAATTTAACTTGTTCTTAACATACTATTTACAACGGAATTCGGAATTGTTTTACACCATTGTACATACTTTTATATGGTTATTGGATATTGTACGAGAAATGAGAATTTGTCTTAGAATATGTACTAGAAAATGGACCTGATACTTTCAGGTATTTAATAATACCTGAATTAAATAACTAAGGTAGGTGGGCCATAGAAACACACGCTAACAAATAAACAGCTATTACTCCTTTATTTACTGGATAAATTAAGGAAATAGATTATCTAGTAATACTTACGTAACTTAGAAAATATTTTTCTTTTTTCTGAACAGGCTTGCAACGGACAAAGCTCCATACAAGGTCAGTATAATAATTAGTTAAAACTAACGTTGTCGTCAAAATGTATGTTTCGTATTCGTGTTGCATTAGAATCAATACTCAAAGAACATTCGAACACTATCATAAAACTAAGATTGTATTCGTGAAGCTATTATTAAAATAAGTTTTATATCGATAACAAGAAAGTTGCTTATAGCCATGATGATTTTGATTAAAAAACCATTTGAACCATCCAAAATGGTCTTCTCATGTAATGCCAAAATGTAGCAGGTAGCATTAGAAGTCTACAATTAGAAAAAAGGTAGAAAGTAATAGTTTATTTATTTGAAAACGTACGTTTTGTTGTAAGCTAGGATCGCAAGTTTAACATCGACGACCGACGTCGCACTGACAAAATAACGACGTAAGCGACCCGCCGCACAGAGGTCTGTAACCCCGAAAAGCTGCCAAAAATACAATCTCTATGGCATTTATACGATTTTCAGTATTTCAAGATCTTATCAAGGACACTTTCAAAAAAAGCCGAGTAGTTGGTCCGGTCCCAACCGCATGTCATTTAGGTTTTTCGGCTCACCAAGTCCGAATAGGTCACTATAAGGGCATCTGGAGGTGATTTCAATGTCACCTCAAGGACAAATTCGAAATGAGTCCAGTATTAGAGCCCGCATGCGTGTCATATAGGTATTTGCGGTCATTGAGCCAAATCGGAGATAAGTTTGCTTCTAGTCATTCATTTAAGGGAAATTTTAATGCCACTCAAAGAAGAAGTGAAGCTAAAAATTCTAATTCATTCAATTCGCGGTGTACTTGAAATCAACAATAATGACAGGTATTTTCAAACAACACAAAACGGGTGATACAGAAGCTCTACAATTTTAAAAAGTAGTGTTGAATGAGATACACCAAAAGCTTCCAGTGAAGGTCGTGTAAGCATAGTTCTGATTCCATGGCCAACTTATTGTTTATGGTTTTAACTTTAAGACAGGTAATGATTTTAATTCATCTTCGATACGTGTTTTTTCTATTCTTGTCAGGTTTTCGCATTGCATGGCTATCAATATGACTTTTCAATAATTGGCCTTACAAGAAGCATGGGCTTCCATGGCCCACCCACCTTATAATTGTTTCTTTACACCATCACATTAGTTCTACTTATATATTAGGTTACTATATTTTCTTAAGTCGACCAAAACTAGCACAATCATTGGATGTCTGTACAATTGCAACAAAAATCGGTACCGACCATAAAATTCATTGTTCCTTCGCCACCCCTGACGCGTTTTTATCAAAGTACAGACTCTTACATAATCCTGATATGAAGACTTTTTGTCTGTCTGTCTGTCTTTGCTGCATCGAAATATTTTTCGCTTTACCGGATTTTAATGCATTACAGGTAAATATTCAGCGGTATAGTAAAAGTAAAATATTAGAAGAGTATTTTTCTCTGGGTATTCAGTGATGACCTTGAATTTGACCTTGGTCATAACCTTGAAGGTCAAATCAAAGTCAGTGCGAACATTGAAGCTATACTATGACGTAGGTATACGACAGAATTAACGTCAAGACAAGCTTCTTTGATGGTATTTCATATTCTTAATCCCAGAAATAGAACGGGATTTTACATTTAGCTATCACCTTACCTTTATTCTGAACGCCCTTGTCAATGTCACCGTAAAAACAATCGTATTATGATGAAGGTCTAGATATTTTGCCTGGTAACCTATGAGCGCGGAAACTGACAGAGCGGATAATTTTACTTCTAGACACGACCTTGACCAAAAACGTTCAAAGTCAAAATAATCTTCACTCAGGGTCGTATCTGAACGTGAAATTTTGTGCTATACATTTCCGGAGTCAAACGCTACCATAGCATTTAAAAAATCGTCTTGATGTTGATTTGACCTTTAATAGCATGCCCAAGGTCAAATTGTAGGTCGCCTTCACTGAAAAGCCAGTGCCAATAGGCACTCCTGGAAGATGTCCAAATATCCTGTCATTCCTGCAACATTTTTTATATCAAATATCTCTGGTGACGCATATTTCCAATCAAAATAGAAGCTTTTAAGAAATATAAATACTAACAAAGGTATCATTAAGTGGGTGACAAGTTTTCATCAAAAGTCTCAAAAGAAACAATTTCCGTGAATTTACTTTTAGCCATGCATGCTTATAAGATTCATATAATCTATTTGTGTATAATTAAAAAATATATATTTTTATGTTACGTGTCTCTCAACGTGGTAGCGTAGAGTAGATCTAGATCTCTATTAAACATACGTATTATGTGCTAGCATAAATGTGGTTCTCATTACTCATATGCACATACAAAAAGTAGGCTGAACAGTTTAAATAACATAAGGCCACACGAATAAAGATAATTTAATTAAGCAACGAAGAAAATAACAGACATGTTGCAATATAGATTTGTTGTATCTAACCATACAGATTATTCAAAAAAGATTCTGCATTTCACGATCAAATATGCCCAAACAGTTTCCGCCATTGTTTTTGTATCCTGCTAGAGAATAGCTACAGATGATTCGAGATATCTGAAGACTGCTTCAAGTTTTGTAAGATTAAATGGCACACTATTTGTTACACAATTCATCGAAGTAATGTAATCATACAGATTAGAATCATGTAATCATAGACGATATTGGAAGTGTCAGAATCGCTTTCTTCAAAACACATCAGAGGTGCTTTCCAGTGCCTCGTTTGGGTTATCGGAGTAACTCGGTGCAGGCTCTCCAACTCGAGCACTTGGTGCTGGTGCGCTCCGGTGCTGAACCCAGCGGCACCGGTGCCGTTCCCCCTCCACCTCGACCGCACAGCCGTCGCGACAGAGACAAACATATTAGCCGACTGTCTCTCGGGCGCGGGCCATTTCTTAATAGGACAAGACAAAGTGGACAGGTTTTTTAACGTCTTAACGTGTATCTTTTTTAAACGATGTTATTCAGTCCTGCATGGAAGAAGCCTATTTTTTGGAAAAGCAAAATGTTTAATTTGTCACACGGTATTGAGGCCAGCCCTTTTAAGTTCTGAAGCGATAATTATTAATTTGGTCGTAGTTGATTATTATTAATGGTGTCGTAATGCAAGTTACATATATTGTTGCTTTGAAAATCGCAAAAAGTGGGAGACCGTTTACTGACGGTGCACTTGTCAAAGAATGCTTAGTGGAGTGTGCAGAAATATTGTGCCCATCTCCTGTAACCAACTTTGAGTCCGAGCAAACAATTTCTCGTCGGATACTTGAACTTGGTGCAGATTTAAAAGAACAACTGCGGGGAAATGTGCCCATTTTGTGGAGTATTCTATAGCTCTCGATGAAAGTAAAGACATTTCTGACCCAGCATAATTAGCTGTTTTCGTTAGAAGTATCGAAATAGTCTTTACTATCACCGACGAACTACTATAGTGTATTTTAACCCAAGATAGAATGGATGCGTGATTGCCAAGAGCAAGGATGGCGTACAGGGCCGCATTCAGTGCTATCTCCGAATGATGGACTACCACCAACGTGTTGTAAAACAAAGATGACAGCATTTAACAGAAACTTAAAAAATTACTCAAATACACTTAACAACAACAGCAGCAACAACCAAGCAAGGTGAATACGAAAACACGAGCACGCAGTGATACACGCGACGGTCGGTGGCCTGAATGCCACTCTGCCTGCCCTGCCCCTGCCCCGCGCATTATTCCACCAGGCGACCGCTTGAAATTTACTGGCGAATTGACCAATAAGAGGCGTTGTCCCCATCTGTTACCGAGAGATCACGCGCTAACTGTTATTATTTACATCTCATCTTGAATTTGGATTCAGTTTAGACGTTATCCCGCTCAAATATACAATGGCCAGAGAAGATATTTTTGATGCTGTAGAATACACAATGAATGACATAGGTATACTACTCAAAAGTTTGCGTAGTGTTGTTACTGATGGAGCGCCAGCAATGTTATTGGAAGCACAAGGTTTTACTGGGCGAATGAAAATAAAAGTACGCGATGCTGGGCTACCTCCGATATCATCGGTACACTACATATTACATCAGGAACAACTATGTGCAAAAAGCTACCGTAATTTCAAATCTATCATGGATGTAGTAATAACATGTGTCAATTTCTGCAGGAAGGTCTCAACCACGGCAGTTTGAAGTATTTTTCAAAGACCTGGAAGCAAGTTACGGTGACATACCCTTTTATTGTGTTACGCGCTGGTTAAGCTGCGCAAAAGTGCTAAAGATTTTTTTTTAAATCATTGACGACGTTGAGATGTTTATGCAAATGAGATTTTTATGACACCATCTTCAGTGCTTTTCGAAACAGAACCGCCGCAGTTCCAAATGGAGCTGATTAAGCTTCAATGCGATACGATCCTTAAGGATAGATACTACCACTACAATAGGTGTCAAGTAGCAAGATTTTCCCAAAACTCCTGCACTGGCCTTGGAAACTTGCTCCATGTTCGGTAGAACGTACTTCTGCGAGCCGATATTTTCTTTAATGAATTTGAACAAAACTAAAAACAGGTCTTTGTCTGATGTGTCTTTAGAGGCGATACTCAGAATTTCCACTGCTCAAGCCACTGTACCAAATATTAGAAAACTTGTTGAATCGAAACGCTATCAAAGATCATCTTAAGAATACATGTGTTTACGTCGAAATTATTAACATTATTTTATCACCCGCGCGTTGACTCGATCAGACTAATTCAAAAATGTCAAAACGAATCACTCGTTTTCCGTTGGGGCTGGGAGCCGGCGAAATTAAACCTTATCGCGGATTCGACTAACCTTAGTATCTAATAATATGTAGTTTTTAAGTAGATGAACAAAGAGGGTTTGGTATGCCGATGAAAGTACCTGTCATATCGACTTGAAGATACAACGTGACGGTAGGATTTTACCATAACCTATACGTATATCAACGGTCATGACGTTTCATATTCATTTTACCTATACTTTCAAACATCTAGTATCCTGGTGTCAAACTGACAGACTCAAATGAGCTTTTAAATGCAAGGATGTATTATTTTGATCTATTTGCATTGCCTGCTATAGCTTTCAGTGGGTACGACAGAAACTTCTGGCGGGAATCATAGCATGTTTTTCCAAATGCGCCTAAAATTCCCATCAAACCTTGTAGGCTTCATTGGATTCGGTGATGACGGTAAAATTCTCATGTCACGCTGTATCTTTAAGTCGGTATGACAGGTACTTCTGGCAGGTCTTACTGAGATCTTCTTGTTCATTTACTTAAAAACTACATATTATTACTAAATTCAGTCGAATCCGCGATGAAGGTATACTCAATGCCACCAGCTCCCGGGTCATTTCTATTCGCAGGGTGCTACGCTTAGCACAACACCTTCCTCGCCATGCGTATGCCGCTGCCTAATCCCTCCCCCACCTTCACCGAGTCACACCACAGCACTGTGACTGTGCTGCGGTGTGCACCACAGCCGACGTCAACTACGAGCCGTGAACAAAGAAATCTGGCAACGTAGGTGGTAGTGTTACTCCCGCCGCTGCTTGCTGCATCGACGCAACTCGTGCTCAAAAGGCTGAGAAAACATAACCAAGCACCTTAGTTGGAGAGGCCTGCTCTAGAGTGTCATGCGCTTGGCTGCTCATTTTTTAAATCCCCTGCCCCCTCATGCACCAGCTTTTTATTCGGTGTTATACGCTCCGAAATAGTGGAGATAACGAAAATGATGTGTCAGAATTGTTAGGTTATGGTTTTTCATTGTTTTTGTTTTTTTTGCAATAAAATCACATTAAACTGATACCAGACAATGAAAAATGGTGAAAAACTGATGATGTTATAGACCCAGAGCCACAACGTACATTTGAGATGTTCCTAAATAAAAGACGATTTGGAGCTCAAAACTGAAAGTTCACTAAACCTCCGCGTATCTTTGTGTGGCTTTGAAACTAGAAATTGATGTTTACTATTTCCCATGTAAATTCTTCTGTGGTATGATCCTTAGGTGCTAGGTAAAATGTGTATTGTAGTCAAACACATAGTTGCTTTCTGAAGATCTCACTTAGCGGGAGGGCTAATTTTAGAAAATCTAAATACCCTCTAGTATATAAGTTAGAGTAGATCAAGTGTATAAACTGAATTACCGTTAGATGAACGAGAGTCCTCATAAATAAAATTGTAAATATAATAGCAGTAGATTATCATTCTTCTGTGGAAATAGTACTATTATTTATCATATTCGACATTTTGTTGTAGTACGGAATCATTCAACGTCCCGTTAATTTAACAAAAACTTGTCACCTACAAACTGGTTTGATGTCTGTTTTTACCAGGTTTTTCACGAAAAACGTCACATGCGGAAATAAGGGGTGGAAAGAGGGAACAATCAGGGGATGTAAAGCCTTTTGGTTGATATAATTTTAAAATAGTTTCCACCCTTAGAGAAATTTGTTGCTTATAGTCAATTTACAACTCCGAGTACAGGCAAAAAGGATCGCCAATAATTGACAAATAATCAAACTTTATGGCTGTACATCCCCTTTTCTTTAAATAGCGCTAATACATTGTCAGTATGATATAATTTTGAAACAATTCGTAAAATTGATTGGCCTAGCAATTATGCAACAATTTTTATGGTGAAATTTTATGGAAAAAGCTTTAAAAAATGACACGAACGCACTGAAAATAACTTCATAGGGTAATGTTGGGAGTTGTATTTTAATCGATCAATGTACAGGGTGTATCATTAATGCAAATGCGAAAGTTGATATAGATGTAATGTGATTAGTATTTAGCGAGTGTAAATTACTATTACAATGGAAAAGAGATCGACCAATTAACTGTAAAGCTTTGTTAATATTACGTAAATTATTTACTATAGAGTTCATATAGAATAAACTCTATTTCATACCCACTATTCACCACGGAACTCTATGAATAATAGAATCAATCTGTAGATTCTGATATGAAAAAGAGTCTGTGTGAAATTTTGAGAGCTGATTACGGTTTGCATAGTGAATCTATAGCGAGTTGCATCTCTTTTAAAAGATGGACTGTCATTATACATGACATGGACAAAGCACTCGACGTGGGAAGTAAAAATCACTAACTTTGATTTTTATGGACTTTCTCTAAAATTTGACCGCCGATGCCCAACTCTTACTACAGATTTTTGTGGACTGTATTGTAAAAAACAACTTAATCAACTCTCTCAGTTTCCGAGATCGGATCAGATGATACAGCTGTTTTTAACAAGTGTACAGAATTGGTACTAAACTGTAAAATTACACAGAACAATGTTTCATATACTATAGACAGCACCAGCAAATTACAGCGCACACTTAGAAAATAACTCGCGTAACTATTCGGGGTGCTTAAAAATAAGAAACTTGAGTTAAGATGAAAAAAACTTCGAGTATTAAATTTGAATGATTTATTGCCGAAGTTTTGTGACTTTTGTATTCTTTATAATATATTTCAAAAAATTGCTTATCGAAATTGATCACACTAAAGGATGTAATAATAACAATGGTACAATATATGTGTATGATGTAGGGTCAAATTGAGAATGTGAGATTAAGCAACTTGGGCAATTTAAACGTGAATTAAGACGTCAAAGTACAAAAAGAACGAAGGCAAAATATTCTAATATATAATTACATTTTTAATCACCCCATTATTAGATGGTTAATGTTGTGTTCAATTAAATCTAATATATATTGTGTATATCTACTATTTTCGTATTCATATATTATAGCAAGTTGTGTGTATAAGGAATATAATGAATGTCTGTGAATTACGTCTAGAATAAATATGTATGTTTTAGTATAATTATTTAGAGGATGACACTTATTCAATTTCAAACTCAAATAGACGTTGACATAAAGCTTCATGCCTACATTCAATAGTCACCAAACACATCGTTCAAATCCTATACATCAGTAATGGAGGAATTTTTTATGTTCAATGCGAAATACGAACATACAGTATGGATAGAGGGTCATTGATGTCAAGAATTCAATGTGAATGAGAGAGATCACGTATGTCACGTGCTCGAAAATAATATCTTGTACGCATTCAATCCGGCACGGGTATCATGTAAAAAACCTACAAAATGTCAAAAAAAAACCTATAAGATGTAACTTGCAGACTAGGTAGTTTTTAGGGCGCAAAGTCATTTCACGTTTGCTCACTAGGATCGTTGTGAACGTCCATCTATGGAGGAATCGCTCAACTAAACTACGCATTATTGGTTGCATAGTTTTGTGAGGATGAGTGTTCTGTAGTTTTATCTCCGAGAAGAAAGTTGGTTGAATAGCAAGATCGCATCTGGATGATTATGTATATTGGTCTGCATATGTATAAAATCAGTTATATTTGCTGTGTGAGAGAATCATTACTGAATATGCCGAATATGACGGGTTATGTATATGTTGTGCTTTCTGAAGAGAGGTTATGTTCAAAGTTATAATTACGAAAAACTGAGGAGAATTACGGGAAATCATCACCGTGCCCGCGTTGTGTGTAATTACTGTTAGCATGTATATGACTTGTAATTCAACAGTGTACAGTGAATATAATTATTTCTTATCTCTCTCATTTTTAAAATTCAGCAAATTTGTATATGTAAGTGAAAAAGTGGATACGCAACTAATTTCTAGCATTGAATCTCAATTAAGTGTATTTGAGACAAGAACCCAATGTAATTATCATCAACGCATACAACGTAGACCTCCAGTAATGCCATCTCAGAAGCAGATTTTACATCACATAAGAGCCAAATATGGATAATAAGCCTCAACACGTACAACTAAGTGAAAAGTTAACATCTTGTAATGTTGGACCAGCGAAAGATTGCAAGCCGAAAGAATGCGGACAAAAAATTGCGAAGTTGTCAGATGTTCTACATAAAATGCGGTCCATACATATTAACATATTTAAGATATAGAATTGTTCCGCTGAATTTGGCAATGTAGCTGGAAAACCCAGGCCGCAGGTAAACATCCGGTCGCTGATTGGTCCAAAACTCTTATCTTATCTGAAACTAGAATAACGTGCCGATGGCACGGTCATTTATAAACCTACTCCCATAGGCGTAGGCAGTTGGCAAATACTTTGAAAATATAATTTACTGTTTAGTGGTGATAATGGAATTCAAGCATGGGAAAGTTATTCACAGCCAGGCAAGGGAAATAATAGCAAACGTGATACGTGCTTGCGATGCAGAAGCGGCTAACAATACTTTCGTTTATCCACTGGTAGCTAGAAATGCAAGGGCGGCATATTATACGGGTGTTAGTGAACGAACTATAAGTAAAATTAGAAAAGAAGATAAAGACAGGCAAAATGCAACCTCCACGCAGCCTTTAGCTTCTCCCGGAAAAAAGAGATCACGCCCTTCTGTGATCCAAAAAATTGATGGAGTCGATTTTTCCATTATTCGGAGAATGATAGAAAAATTTTACTGTGATTTTAAAGTGGTACCTACTTGTAGTAAACTTCTAATCAAACTGAAGGAAGAAATGGAATTTCCATTTGGTAAAGAATCGTTGAGGCTGCTTTTAAAAGCAAAAGGATTTTACTGGCGTAAATGCCACAACAAAAGGAAATTACTAATGGAAAGACCCAGTATTTTACATTGGCGATACAAGTATCTTAGGTCTATTAAAAAGTTCCGGGAAGAAGGAAGGCATATTATTTATTTGGACGAAACTTGGGTTGATAATGACCTCACTTTCAAGAAATGCTGGCAAAGCGAAGAAATTATGGGTGTCCTGAGCAATATAAGTTCTACAGGTAATAAAGTTTCTTTCACCTCGATTTTGCTTATTATACATTTTTCTCAATTTTGGAATATTCTTAATAAGTGCTCATTTAATTTGTCTAATTGAATACATAATCCCTTGCAAGTATTTTTTTCTCAAAAATATGTTTTTTATACATAGTGATTCAAAAAGGTGTTGGCAAACTTAAAATAACACTAAAATGAGGCTATTTATTCATTTCCAGGACGACTTATAATTGTTCATGCGGGTTCGCAAGATGGTTTTGTTCCTGGAGCCTGTCTCATTTTCAAGGCTGGCTGTGCCACTGGTGATTATCACGGTCAAATGAACCAAGAAAATTTCACGAAGTGGCTTACTGAAAAACTATTTCCTAACATTCCTCCTAATAGTATTATAATAATGGATAATGCACCTTACCATTCAGCTTTGGAAGACAAGCCTCCAACTAGATCTTCTCTAAAAAGAGACATCATCACGTGGTTGAGCAAAAAAGGTATAGAGCATGATCCTAATGCTAAAAAAATGGAGCTTTATGAAATAGCTTGTCTACATAGGCCACCATCTGATGAGAAAAATTATAAGATAGATAATTTAATAAGAAGTTTCGGACACACCCCACTTCGAACGCCACCCTATATGTGTCAGTTTAATCCCATAGAGATGATTTGGGCACAAGTAAAATTTTTCATTAGAAGCCATAATACAAGCGGCGAATTTACTATAAAAAAACTAGATGAAATTTCTAATAAGGCCATCGCTTCAGTAAGTGCCAGTGACTGGCAAAAGGTTATTGGACATGTTATAAAAATTGAAGATGAATATTGGGAAAAAGACAGTCTCATTCAAGAAATACAGGAAGAAATAATAATCAACATAGGAGGTGAAAGTGATAGCAATGACAGTTCCTCAGACAGTGATCATGACTCTAATCAGGATTGAAACTATACTAGATTGGCTACCTTTTAGAATTTTTAGATATTCATTTATTATACTATTGGTTTGTGGCTTTTAGTATCTCAGTAGAAAGTCTAATTCTATGTGTTGTTTATGGGTTATTTCATCAAGAAATTACTTTTTGTTTTCCTATATTTTTCTATTCAGTCAGATATTTTTGACTTGTTGTATTCTATTTTAGAAGAATGCATAATTTGTTTTGCTGTTCAATCATAATGCGTACATAGGAATATTACTTGTTGCCTAAAAAATATATTTATTTTGTTCTCAATATTCAGTGTTTGTGTATATTTATTTCTTATAATGTATGTTTGGTATCACGTCATTATGAATCGCAAAAAAATATTAATACTACCAGTTGTAATAAAATATAAATTCAATTAATAATTCAAGTCTCTCCGATCTCCGCCTATGACTCCATATAAAATCGTCTAATGGTAAGGTTTTTTCATCGCATTTCCCCCTTTCGTCCCTAGCAATCTTTGGCTGGTCGATCAATAGAATAACCCAGATGCGATCTTATTCAACCAACTTTCTTCTCAGAGATAAAAACTACATACACGGATCACTCAGCCTCCCAGAACTATGCAACCAATAATGCGTGGTTTAGTTGAGTGATTCCTCCATAGATGGACGTTCACAACGATCCTAGTGAGCAAACGTGGAATGACTGTTTGCGCCCTAAAATGATATCCGTGCGGTCCTCGTTACCTGCTAATCCTGTATGAATCCGATAAGGTTTGGAACATTGCGTAAATCGCACAGAAAGCCTGTTAAAATAGATATTTGTATATAAGCATTAAGATATAAGAGTACTCAGTTGAATCTATGAATTTCACGAACTTATAAAGGAGGTTCTAAATATTTTATTCGTACATGTTACTTCGAACTGACTACAACGTAAGATTGCTACATTTAATTTTTAGCTAATCAGCCATATTTTAGAATTTAGTGACATAAACATAAGAGATGAATCTTCTAAACTGTACATACACGTATCAATAGACTGGAGAGTATTTAGTGCTATAGTTTTGCTGCTAAATAGGGGATAAGCTTATTTTGTAAGGTTATATTTTCCTTATTCAGCGATGTTGTCGGAATTTATGACGCTGGATAAGCTTAAGTAAAATGAACTCAAGTTATAAAAACATTCTGGTTTAAGTATACAAAAATATGAGTTTTAGATCACAGATAAAAATAAATGCAAGAGGGTGTTCCAAAAAAATTGAATTGTCCTGATTTTTGTTGTACTCGCATGTGGCAAGGTAGCGTTTTATTAATTCTGCTGATTTTGTGGGCACTTGCCGTACCTACTTATTTTGACACAATTATTATCGAAACTTTATTACGAAAAAAAAGATTTTGTTTGAAATTTTGGGTTACCTTCACGTCAAAAAAAAATAGAAAAAAATAAGCAAGCTGTCATGACTGTCACTAGTCAGTATTGCCGAAACAACGCGGTTCACTTGATTGGTTATAAAAACTTTTTTGTAGACACTCATTATTTGCTGTTGCTGTCAAAAATAACGCAACGGGAGGCTATTTTTCTAGCACTAAAGACTCTCTAATATCATTGGCCTGTTTCTATTTGATGCAGGCCGTCAGTTTCCTATCAATAATAGCGAACAGAAATATTTTCACCTGAACACTAGGACTGAAATCAGTTTCAAGGATAAATATATTTCTTGATAGCTTATACTTTTAAAGTTGATGCACAAATTGAATAAAAACCGGTGGTAACAACACTTTTTATAACACAAAAATCCAGAAATACCTTTTTATGAACGTAGAATAGGAATAAAGAACATATTCAATACTTTTTGTTGGAATATTTGTGATAACTTTATTGAAACATTAAGAAACGCTTCGCCACTGACAACACTGTAACGCCAGCATAACGTATAAGAGGGTAATACCAAAAGTCTCATATTTTTTAAAGATCAGACAGCATGAAGTTGGAATAATTGAATGGTATATCATTAGGAAGCTTAAACATTATATTATTCAAGTGAAACGTCTCGTTGGCACTTGCCACGGTAACGCCGTGCAAAAAATTGAGGTATGTTTCATCCAAATCCTAGCAGTAAATTCCAAGTTATAGTGCGACCAACGACCGACAGAAAGAAGAACGACAAACAGAGAGACAGACCGACAAATTGGCAGTCAGACATACACGTCATATACAATACTGGTTCGCCGTGGCATAGGTAGTAAAACTACCACAGCGTCTACCAAAATGCAATGACCTGAATGTAAAATTTTATTTTTAGAACAGACGAAAGTTTAAGCTTTATAATGATATGTCAATTATTTTAAATATATGCTTTTAGCATTTTTAGAAATAGGATAATTGACTTTTTTTTTTGGGATCACCCTTGTACTTTTTCTACCATTTCATGAGCTCTACTGGTTATTTTTCACCTTAAGATCATTGATCAATTTTTAAGAACTGGTTCCAAAAGAGATATTCTCTGCGGTATTCTGTGGTCAAGTACCAAATTGGAAGTGGAAGCGTGAATCATTGTAACCTGTACTGTCCGTTTGCAGATGTACAGCTATAAATATGCACCCTGCAACTTTTTTTGTAGGGCCATTTACCGAGACATGTGTGTAAAAAGTAATATCTACATTTAGTTTCGTTTGGCTAGCAAATCAAGGACTTCTATCAGCATGAATAATGCTAAATAATAAGTTTCAGGTGTTATATCATTTAAAAAAAGTTTCATACAAAAAATAAAACTTTATTTAATACTTTAATAGAAAATATTAGAAATAACAATAGTACGCGGTAGTAGTAGAAAAATTAATACAAACAAATGACGCAAAAAAACATATTATTATATATTATATATAATAAGAGCGTTATCTGTTTACAGTGACATGCCATATAGTCAAAATCACAAAAAATGACTATTACGTCATACCATCAATTGTACTGAAGTAATCAATGGACGTACGTCGATGATAAAATCACGATGCCGGGAACATAATGACAACAAATTTATATTCTAATTTTGCGAAGTTAGGTTATTTCATTGATTATTTTTATTTTCATTTCATTTCATGGTTTTGAGTGATACCTTAATAATAATTTTAGTGGGGAGTTTTTGTTTTGAAAAAAAAAAACAGTTATGCGTAGAATACCTTAATATAAGAACAGCAAAGACCAAAGTATTATTCGAAAACAACCTAACCTGCTTTAACATAACCTAACTATTCATTTTTCAAATATGATCGATCATGCAACATGAAAACATCGTCCATCTTTGTCGGATACATGCAACTTAGCAATACAGTTTGTTTAGCCAATACAATTCTGTTTGTCTCGGTCTAACATATCTGAACCTTCATTAAAAATATTCACAAATCGCTGTCGTTAGTCTATACTACAGACTAAAATGATGAAGTAATCGTCATCTTTCGTGATTTCGACTATATTTGTATGTCCTTCGAATTGGTATTTGATTAAAGAAAAATAGAGATTACCTGGTAACGTTCATTGCGTTGTTTATCCAGTATGCAAATTGTATTTTCTCCACGATTTCCAATCAAGTGGAATGGACTGATATCTATTTTAAAAATTACTGTAGGCCTAACATACTTGTACAGCCACCAACCAAAACAGTTTTTGCGGAGAAAAAGCACCACGTTTTCTAGTGTAGTGTCTATTATTATATTGCACCAACGAGTATAACAACTATTTTCTTAAATGTGACTGTACTAAATCGGTGTAATCGTGTAATAGATTCATTGTATAGAAAAAATATACGAAAAATGTTATGTATTCTAAAAATAAAGGAACATATTCCAAAATGATTTTTTGTCTACCTTAACTAAGGCCATACAATCATAGAAGTAACTAGATGGATCACTGGAAAGATTGAATACAAAATCTGTTATACTTGTCTTTTTATCTCCAAAAACTCACGCTCAACGAGACGTGTGATCAGGTGCGTTGTCGTGATCCCCCTTGGGCCAAATCCAGTCAAAGTTGGGCCACACGAGCTCTGAGACGGCGCAAAACTTCAATGTAGAAATATCCGCTTACCATCTAGCCGGAAGGGAAAAATTCCTGGTGAACAATGCTAGGAGAATCAAGGAAAACAATCAACATTGTTTTCACATTGGACCTTGATTTTTTCGACTTTTTTGGTCTCGGAATTTGATTAAAAATAGCCAGACCTTATGCATAAATATAATTTGATTTGCTGCAGGTTTTGTTTGAAATTTAAGTTGTGAATTTGAATCTCCTTGATAGAACACAATGAAAGACATTAATACTTCGAGTAATTTTATTGCAAAATTTATTAAAAAAATGCAGTTTCAGTGATAATTAATATACACAACAGAAAAAAACATTTCAAAATTAATTCGTACTAGAAAACAAGATGTTTTTGAGGATTTTTATAGCTCATTTACTTACTAATAGGTAAGCAACCAACACATGTTACAATCTAACCTATAGAATAATTTACTTTGTTTTGCACAATTTGTACATCACTCCTGTACACTGCCTTTATTTTCACTATTATCATCAGTTTCATGAACAGAATCTGTAGGTTCTTGTTCATTTTCAACTGCAGTAAAACTGTCCATGTGATTCTCTTGATTATCTTCAACATTATCTACAGACTTTGATTGCTCTCCATTGCTCAAAGTATGTTCCCCATTCTGAACTTTTTCTTCATTTGGTACTTCCATATCTTCACTCTCATCATTATTTTTCTGCGATTCCATTTTCTCCTTTTCTGCAACAGCCAGTTGTGTTTCAGTCAAAACAGCATCATGATCAAAATGATCATCTTGGTCTGGATCTGGATCAGGATCCTGCTGCTTTGGATCTGTATTATTGACCTGATCTTGCTTGTTCTTCATCCCAAACTTACTCTCAAAACTCCTTTTCACTCTTTCTTCCATAACCTGAAGTTCCGAAGCTATTTGCTCCTTTTTCTTCTCTATAAGTTCTAAGATTCAAAAATTATTATAAATTCATAGAAACTTAAGTAGTGTCAGTTTTTTTAGTCAAAGCCAAAACCAATCTCCTTGTTATATTGCATTGAAACAAACTTGTTAAAATTAGATAAAATAAAAAAATCAAAGTTTGGTGTAATATGAGTAACAGCTATTAGAAATTCTCATGTATGATGCTAAGGTATTACCTTATTTAATATTGGATATTTTCTCAGGCATACAGTATTAGGTGAGCTATCTTAAGGTAGAATATGTTAATCAATACTAACAGGTAATAAATATGGTCACATTCTAAGAATAGGGGATGGAGAAACTTATTACATCATCAAAATGTATTATGTCACAATTTTTGGTACAAAATTTTACACTTTGAAGGACATGTGCAGCTATTTCGCCTTCATAGAAAAAAGGAAAAAACACCTATAATATACTTCTTGCAAGGCAAAATCTTAATACTCCATTGAAATAAATATTTAGAAAACATAATTTTATAAGAATTTAACTTACTTTCAATTTCTGCTTTGCTCTTCTCCAAAAGGTCTGTAGACTTATCATTCATACGCCTTGGTATATAATGTATATGTGGTTTGGCTTTAGTTGTGATAAAGCTCATTCTTGGTTTTTGACTCTCTTCCCATACTGCATATTCTTTCATTCTCAACATTTTTAATTCAATTACTTTTATTTCAGCTTGTTTTCTCCTTCTGCTTAGAAAAAGTTCTTGCCTTTCTTTTCTTATTTCTGCTTTCTCCTTTATTTCATGTTCCTCTATTTTCTTTTCTAGCTGAGCCCTCTTTTCTTCCTACAGAAGAGAATATTCAATCAAGCAAAAAAGAATTCAAAGTAGACAACCTAAAGCACTAGTTAAACCTTTATGTATTCAGCCATGTTGAAAAATACACATATAAATATACAACGCAAGAAGGTGATTAACTTAGCTCATAAAAAGAACAACAGGGCAGGTACATCTTGTAATATAATCATTGCTCATCAAATATTGGGGGTAAGCATAACATATTTGGAATTTCAATGAAAAAACATTATAAGCAAATTAAAAAATTATAGAAATAAACGATCCAAATTTAGATGCAATGTGCATGCCATTTAACAAAATTCATACTCCTCTAGCATGCTCCATTCCTGACTTGCACTACAAATATCAACAAACCTCTCTCTATATATGTACATATATAACTGGTATGACAATATTCAAATGTTCATTGTAATACTAAATACACATAATAACATATTTTCATGAAACGAGAAATTGTCCAATGATCTATCTACCTTTTACAATTTTGTTCAATTGTAATAAATGATCATAACTTTTCTTAATAGTGATGGTTACCTCAGACTTAGTTTACCAATAAATAAAATGCTTACCCTAGGTTTGAGCTTTGTTTCCTCCTGCTGAAACTTTTGTAAGGTTCCAAGCAAAGCCCCAAACATCCTACGATTTCTCGCCTTGAACTTTTCATCACGATTTTGTGCTACAATAGCTTCCTCCCTACTTGGTACTTCTTTATTCGTCACAATTACTTTACTGATCATACCCCGCTGAGGGCCGTGTTGCGCTGGATGAGAATCGTCCACTTTATCAGACAATCTCTTAAACACCGACACATGAGGCACTGGTGGTCTCCTCTTCGCAGGGACTTCTTCATTTTCGATCGCGAACCCCCTGTTTCTGGTTTGGAGTTTTGGTCTACCTTTGTCGTCGGGATTTGGCCGTTTTAAATTGTTTCTAGGAGGAGGCTCTGAGGGGTCTCTTCCAATAAGTCTTTTCAGATTTTCATCGACACCTTTCAAACTGCTTCTGGCTTCTTCTAGCTCACTTTGAAGATTTCCAAAAGACTTCAACACGTCTGTAGCCATTACTGGGTCAAATTTACAATGTGAAACTTGATTTTCCAATCATTTCTGAGGAACCCTTAGAAAATCCAATATGAATTTCTGAACTTAAAGATTCCCGAGATTTGTAACCACAATTTGTGACAATTTCATCAAGCAGAGCAAGCGCACACCATTTATGAAAAATGTATGACGTTTAATGTCAATATGTCAATGTCAGTAACCTAAATTGTCCAAGCCACAGAACAAATAACACTGAAATTAAAGAGCGACAAATACATGACAAATCAATATCCCTATCTGCCATCTTTCTCTTTACAGCTCTTTAGGCCCGTATCGTCAGTCGTCCCTACAATTGTAGCGCGCGTTTATGGCCTCCTTGATTGTCATATTCCTTTCTCTCCTTTAAAAATTTCTAGGTTACACTTGTCCCGTGTTAGCGTCAGCGCTCTCCAACTGTGAAGATATGTTTTCTTTTTAAATTGTAGGAAATTTCAGGCTGATAAAACATGATATAACTCAAAAGCAAGCACAATTTGATGCAAATGTGACATAACCTCAAAATAGTGTTCTGACACGGAGAAGTAGAAAACTAGGCGCCCTATAATTGTAGGGACGACTGACATACGGGCCTTAGTCATCCTGCAGGTTCACAGGATGCAGGTTTTTTATAAGAATGTGCTAAGAACCACCCATAATTAGAGACGGGTGGACTGTAATACCTAAAAAAAATATCCGGACAGGAAAATACGTACGGTAGAAGAATGGCGGATAGTGTTTTATATTGATGGATTCCTTTTTTTGATTACACTTCGTAGCATAAGACATCTTAAACCGCTCCCGCACGATGTGGCGAATGCGTTACATCGTGTGGCAAAGCGCTGACAGATTGCATGTGTCCAACGTTCGCTACATGACACGTTCCGGCTCTTGTCGGTAAATTTGACCCGCGTCAAAGGACGTTACAACGTTGGAAGCATGGTTCGTTACGCTCCCACACGAGATGTCATGTGTTTGATGGTTTTAGGTCAGAACCAGTAGCGGCGACAAACATTACTTATTTGTTTGCTGTGATTGTGGTGAATTAGTGGTATGTGGGAAGTATTTTGATTTGAATACCTACCTGTTCCTAATAATGTATGTTCCGTAAGTAACTTTTGAGAAGAATGAATTAAATTAGTATACATACAAAACATAGACGGTCATAACAGCACTTTTTTCATATTGCCAAACACGAGCACATAATATTATTATTGAGACAGGGCGGTACTCAAGAGTTATAACTTTGTTACTTTAATTTTACCAGAAAAATGTTAAAGGAAAAAACATTTCTTTTGATCAGATCTACTCACTGTTAAAATAAATGACTCAACTTCGAAGTCACCCTGAAAAATGGTAAAGGAAAAAAACATTTCTTTTGATCAGATCTACTTACTGTTAAAATAAATGACTCAACTTCGAAGTCACCCTGTATATATAAGTATAGCGATCTCAGATTTATATGAGGAGCTGGCAACGTTGCGGGATATTAATGCACAATCTGGCGACCATGTCACACCCTCAAAAAATGGCCGCTGACAACCACACAAGTCACCGTGTTGCCATGGAATAGCATGGAATTAAACCTTCTTCAGTGTATGTGTTTTGTGAAAAAACCAAAACAGGAGCTTCAGGATTTTTATAAAAAAACATTGCTCTATTTGTTATATAATCCAAATACAAAGGTATAAGTGTTTCACTATCATATACGTGCTTTGATTTGCAAATATTGTATTACACTAAAAATAACATTGCCCTATTTCCCAAGATAAGCTGAGGATTATATAACTTTTAGGAACATGGGAGGCCACGGTGGTCACGGTCATGGTCACGAAGAGCCCTTCCAGGTCCCAGACTATAGGATTTACAAGGTAGAAGACGTTCCAGAGCTCATGGCTACAAAAAGAGCCCTACAATCGCTTGGTTTGAAGGACCCATGGTTGAGGAATGAAGTATGGAGATACAATCCTAAAGAGTTTGGCACAGAAAGTGGCAGGTTGCGTCTGGCATTCTTCAGAGGTTTCAAGTATGGTTTTGCAGCTTTTGTGGTGACAGTCGTTGGCACAGCAATCTATGATAAAGTGTTCCCTGATGAACATGGCCATGGACATGGTGGCCATCACTAATGTGTTGTAAATATGTAGAGTAGATATAATAAATTGTTCATTTTTCCAGTACTATGATCATTATTCAATCCAGCTCCAGTATTATACAAAACAATCTACTGATCTGTAATAATAAAAAACTTGTGAAGCTATCTCTCCAGACTATATTCTTCGATGTACCCAATAGCAATGGCTACTGCAGATAACGATCTTTACTGACCCATATCAATAGATCTACATGTACTTAATTTCAATTTAATATCTTGATGAGGTTGGAACGTCAAAACTCTTTTTTTCATATATGAAATTATAATCTCAACATCCTGTGTCTGCGCAATGAGGCCTTTTGTGACCCATATTTATATAAAATTTTGGTATTCTTCTACTTTAAGCCATAGAAATATATCCATGTTCTCTCAAAATCAACCCTGCTTTCTTTTCATTTTTCTTTTCAATATTTAGTTGCTATTATAAATTGATAACGGAGATGGAAAAATTTTTATTTGAGCTCTTAACATTGTTATCAAAAAGAACCAGGTTCAGGGTTTTAATATTTTTGTCATATGGCACTTCACTATGACTACTCCTGTTTGAGGTGCTTCATAAATTGGCTAATATCACTGGATTATAATTGAAGTTGGGAAAATCTGCTATCAGAATCACAGAAAAAAAAGACATTTAAAAATATGTTTAATTATATAAACTTAACTGTATATATAGAAGTAGACAAACAGTTACTGATGGTTTGATATACAACTAAAACGTTATAAAACACAAAGTATATTTTCAGGCCACATAAGAACTGCTTATTTTAAAATTTGAGATAACTTCCTTGATCAGCTGCATTTTGCAAGTATTTATTTTCATTTGAGTAGAGATCTTACTACAGCCATAAGGCACAGAAGGTCCTGAAATTCTCCCATATAAAAATAAAATAAATATACCAACATACAATGCTTAAGACTAATTTTCATCTTCTTCAATTTTTGGAGCTAAGTAATAACGCAAGTGTCCCAGATCAGGAATCTGGTACTCTACAACTAAAGGTACATTATCAGACATAGACAGCTGTACTTGATTAGCAAGAGGTGTTGCCTTGGTGAATGAGTTCAAATATTGGCAGGCAAATGTTAGCGTAACAGGCTCTTGCATCTCAATGATGACTGCCTCCTCTTCCTTCTCAAAGTTGCTGGTCTGGGCCAATTTTACGTTTGCACTACCGATATCACCCGAGGTGGAGAATTTCACACCTTCTTTGGTGCAAGAAATCACAATGGATTCACCAAACTGTGACAGATCTCTGACAATCCTGGCAAATTCAGCTGCAGGCATCTTGATTACACATGAAAAATCCGTGTCCGGAATTCCAAGGTGTTCTTGGTCCAGATTCATCAGTTTCATTTCATAATCGGATATCTTTTCTTGTTTCTTTGACTCAAACATGAAGGTAACTGTATCAGCATCATCTTGGGCCTTGATGGTTACTGTGTCATCATTGCTCGAGCATCTGAAGATCTTTGACATGCTGCAAAGAAAAAAAATATGTGTTTAGATTTTAAACTCATCCACACAACAGAGACAAATCAAAGGTGTAAGACTGGGTAACTAATGTTGAAAGTGGCTTAATAATGAAAAGGTTTTATTTCGACCTCAATCTACTAAAAAGACAGACCAACAGTTACAATCATTCCTTGTGAAATATATAGCTCACTAGTTTCTCTAATATCTTTGGAATTAAATAGAGTAGATCATTTTTAGTTTTGTCTTTAATTAATTATAATAAATATATGTGAAAGTGATTTCATTAGACCTGAAAAATGATTTATATATCTGTGCCTTAGAGGTATATATAGTTGTAACTCCATATAATGCAATTCAGAGAACAAGCTGATTATTTTGTGAGTTACAACTATTTACTATGATAATAATATCCAGGTGCAGCATAGGATGAAACACAGTAAGTACAATTGGTGAAAATAGGCTACATTTTATTATTACAAAAAATGACATCTGGAGAATATATATTCAATCGTCATCGTCGTTATCATCTTCTTGTTGACCAGCACAGGAATATTTTTATAAAAATCATGGAATGCTTCTGGTATCCATTGCAGAAGCATGAGAAGATAATCGTGCTTTTTCTGCTAAGTCCTTTTGGGGTTTGATGCGGCGAACATAGTTCTAGTGGAAACCCTATCGGTTTTCTAGAGGATCTATTCATGTTTACCATTTTGTAGTCCTCTTGGAATATGTCTGTTTTATAGTAGTATCCCCGGATCCTGTTTTCGAACCTCAAGCCACACCGCTGATGACACTAACAAGCTTTCTTTGTCTACTGTCTGTTTCTTTTGAATGAGAGGTGATCCTGTGCCGGAATATAAGGCCTCGAAGTTCTTGAAGTCATCTACCTGCATCTCGAAAACTGTGGCTCCAGTTGATATTACAAGTTGCTGCCAGTCCATGGCCTACATATTTTCATGGTTAGTTGTTTTTTTATAACTCGTTCGATAAGTGCATGGATATGATCAGCTTCCACGACTGTTTACCGCTGCGTAGCGATGATTCATATGATAGTATTGTGCGTTTGTATGAAAAAGCGACTGTTTACCTCTAACAAAAAATTACTAGCTGCTTGTTCTATTTCATATATTTCATGATTATCGTGGTTAGGCCTACGAGCATTTACTCCACATAAAGATTAACCAGGGATACTAATTATAGGCAGATAATCACAAAAACTGCAAAATGGAGTTACGATCGTTTAAGTCTAAGGCACAGATATAAATCACATTGTTTACAAACTTGATCTAGCTTTAAGACTACTATTATAGTATTATAGAAAATTTGCTCAGTCTGGCTAGTCCTTTTGCTGTTACCACGTTTGAGGACAAAGAAACTGTGAATACGGTTAGGCGAAAATATCAACTTACCTAGCAAGGTTCATCCCCATCGTCAGGTTCCTATCGCAACGGTACTTATCAAAGCCATCGGACCGTAGGGCAAGGGACACCAAGGAAACGTGGGAGTTGTCCATGGCTTGGAGTTGAATCCCCGCCTCCGAACAATCGAAAGAGGCTTCGTTAAGAAGATCTTTGATCGCATCTAGCACTTTTTTGAAAGTAACGCTGTTTACCAAACGTGCTTCGAACATTTTGTATTAATTTGGAGATATAATTCAGGGAAATATAAATAAATTCAGTACGCACACACCTCTGGCACAAACAATTGCTGATGGCGGGCGAAAAATAAGAGGGAAATTTACCCGCCAAATATTTTTATGCATATTTTATAGGTTATTTGAAGTGACGTGACAATGACTTTTGTGACAGAGAAACCAGCTGTTTTCTTCCATCACGGTCTTCTTATCCGCCATTTTCTATCCTACAGCTACTATAAATCCATCAATCCCTTTTATTTTGATGTGACTTTTTTTTTAACGAAGACGCTTCACCATCTCACACGCACGTCAAAACGCAATATATGCGTCTCGTATATCAAAAACATTTATTAGTAACGTTTGAAAGGCACGATAAGCTGAAAATGGGTTATACACTATTTCACGAGTATCCATCACGCTTTGACGTCTACTGAGGTGAACAGATCAGCAAGTGACATTTTTGTGTTAGTCCGCGACGTTGGCAATAATGAATCGGGTGTAAATCTAATAAAACTTGTTTGTCGCGTTTTGATTTTGGTTTGCAAATGAACTTTTATTAAATAAAAGAGCTGTTAGCGAGTACAAAATGAATTTATAGCGTACAAAAAATCAAACCACAATACGGCTCTGACTACCTGACGTTGACGGATCCGTCAGAATTCTGTGCCCTTTGCCGATATGGGAATTTTGAGATATTACTAGATAATTAGCTGTCATTCTACCATTATGATACTCGTGAAATAGGGTATATATGGTATGCCATGTCTCGGCAAAGGGTGGATGTCTTTCCGTTTGTCAAAAATGACAAATGTCATCGTCAAATCTGTCACGTTTCAACTTATGTCAAAATCCTGTCAAAAACAACTCTGCCCGATTATCTAATCGATTCATATATTCATTCTAAAAGAACTCCTTCCAACTCGGGAGAGCAACGAAATGGCTGTAAGTTTTATTCAAAAGCGGTTCATGTCCAGCGCCCTTCAAAAGTGGGCATACAATCTTCTGGCTTCAACAAATACGGACTTTGGAGGGACGACTTGTTATACGAAGACCAGGATGTTGCAGAGGCTCTGAAGAGATTAGACCAAAAGACTGTCGATGAAAGGAACTACCGTATCCTGAGAGCTACACAGTTGTCCTTACAAAAAGATATCCTGCCCAAAGAGCAATGGACAAAATTGGAGGAAGACAAACTGTATCTTACACCCCTAGTCAATGATGTAATCAAGGAGAGGGAAGAACGAGAAGAATGGAATAAAAACCACTAAACATTGCATATTTTGTGTTAAATGTAGTTATAACTGTTATAGTAATTTTAAATAATGAATTATGTACAGAAGAGTTTAAGAGTGTTATTGACCTTCTTACTGGACCCATAATTATTGGATAGGAACTTTCCATATTTTATTTACATTTTCTGGTTGAGAAAAGTATTTCCATTATTTTCCAATCTACCTGTTGGTACCAGATGCTAACACCTGCTTGTTCTGCCAGATGGTTCATCTATCGTCACTATAAAACCTCTGCTCACTGTAAGCTTTGATTTACGTAGATATACGCAATATTTATTTAATTGATCTGCAAGTAAAATGTGTAAATAAAATACAAATTGTGTTATATATACTTATATTTATCTACAAAATTAAATACATGTAATCTTGCTGGTAAATTTTTAAGGTACAACAATCTGAAAAAAGACCACTAACCCCATAGAATGCAATATTTTGTCCCAAGTGTTTCTATTTTTTTCCTTCAAATAACCTACATAGAAGCAATGAAAAAAGACTATTTGAAAATATCAGCAAGTTTTTTTCTGAACAATTTTTTTAATTACTGGCTGGTAGAGTGCAAAAAAAATAAGAGGACCTTGCATGGGTTCATAAATATCAGGAAACAAACATTAGATACTTCGATAAATCGGAAAACCGATAAATATCGATATATCAACAACTAAAAATATAGATATTTATCGATATCGTCGATATACCGATATCGAAAAATTCAATATATCGTATCAAAATATCGAAACACCCACCCAAATCAAATACCCACAAAATCGGGTAAAACGCAAAGTTGTGACGCATGTTCTGCGACCACTGGAAGCTATAACAAGAGAGGCTTCTGCCGCACATTATGTCACTATTTCAAAAGTTGTGCCTAAGGTGAGTTATGCAATTGACCAATACAATTAATCGACGATCACTTCAAGCATTGCCGGCGATTTGAAGAAAAATATTACTCTGGAAATGGAGAAGCGTTTTGGCCAGTTGGAATACAATATGTTAATAGCAGTTTCGACGTTTCAAAAACTTACCTTTTAAGAACCTGACGCATGTGCAAAAGCGATTTCAAAAATTAGAAAATTAATTTCAGAATATAAATCTGCAGCCGCAACAGGTTCATCACCGTCTTCAGCGGATGGAGATAAAAGTGAATTTGATTTTTGGAAGCACCATAAATCTTTGGCTCAAACGCAAATAAAAAGAAAAAAAAAACTGACCGTGACGGCGAGCTCACGTTATATCTTTCTGCTCCGTAAATACTCTAAAAGTAAACATTATTGAAATATGGCAAGAGATGCAAGGTGTATATCCCAATCTATTTAAAGTGGCAATGAGTCATCTACCAATTGTGGCAACAAACGTTCCTTCCGAACGTATTTTTTAAAGCAGGAGAACACATTTTATATACCTATCCGAATTTTGTTTCACTTCACATACATAAGTATAAACATTTATTACATACATAATCAATAACTGTTTGATATAACTGAAACAACATTGGATTTCTAATTTCTTTAAGTTTCCAAAAAAATATGAAATATCGACATATCGGCTTAATATAACCGCTATATCGATAGGTCGATATCGATTTAATTCGATATATATCGATATTTATAAAAAGTTTGCATTCCTACCCCGAATTTTTTATACGTATTTTTCGGGCAAACTCGTATGAAAATTTTACGATCCTAAAAAGTTACTCATGGACAATCCATTCATTTATGAAGTTAAGGCATATAGCATCACATCTGTAGTTAAAAGGGGTCTTTTTGCATAAGATTATTGCAAAAAAAGTAAGAAATTTTTCCATGCGAAGATACTTGCTGAACTATACTACAACTATTTAAAACTGTAATGACTCATACGCATGATCAACACGTGATCAGAGCTCGATCCCGGCTTCCTTCCAGTACAGCCGTATAGCGTACGACATATGTCGTTTCTGTGACTTTGCGGTGGTCAACAGCACAGACAGAGATGGAAATAATGGCCGATTGTTCTCCGCCGGTAGAACCAATGAAATCAAAGACGCGCCTACCGGCAGACTCATAGGCGTCGGCAACGCATTGGAACGTGTTTCGTTGAGCGATCGCATATTGTGTTTTTATAAGAATTGTTGTGTGATTGTTATTGTTGTGGTTTCTGTTTGGTTATACTTAACCATGGAGAGTACAAATGGCACGAGTGGAAGTACTGAAAGCCAGGGAACAAGTAGACGGCTTCGTAAAGCACTGAAGAGGGACGCGAAAGTATGACAGGCGTTCCAGAGTGGACCATTCGCAGGGTGGTGCATGAAAAGAAGAAAAAACTGGAGCTACTACTGATCCAAAGTTTAATTTGAAGGGGACGAAAGGCCGTTAAATTGGATGACGATAGCAAAATGGCGTTAAGGCGAACCGTACATTCATTCTTCTTTAGGAATGAGATACCAACCCTCAAGGCTGTACATGCAGCGATCAAGGAAAATGAAATTATACCCAAATGAGCGTCGAGGTAATGAGGAAATCCCTGCACGAAATTAATTTTCGTTACGAAACGCGTAATCGGAAGTCAGTATTGATAGAGAGACCTGAAATAGTCGCCTGGCGTCGAAAATACCTACGCGAAACGATTGAATATAGGCGACAAAGCAGAAAAATCTTATTTGGACGAGACATGGGTAAATGCAGGTCACACAGTTAAAAAAACCTGGATAGACAAAAACGTAGTGAGTAACCGACAAGCAAGCATTGAAGGTTTGTCAACAGGTCTTCGTGGACCGTCAGGGAAAGGTCAAAGATTGATCGTAACTCATATTGGTAGCGATAGTGGCTTTTTAGAAGAGTGTGACTTGATTTTCGTCTCTAAGAAAGAGGTGATTACCATGACGAAATGAATGCCAGCTGCTTCGAGAGCTGGTTTCAAGGGGTGCTCAGCGAGTTGAGCCAACTCTGTGATCGTCA